AGGCCAGCAAGTCATTCCCTCAAGAAGCCTATGGACTAGTATGCAGGAGCGATCTTAATATCTTAAATATCTTAATTTGTTTTCTGAAGATGAACGAAGGTCTTACAGGGTTGGAACAACATGAGGGTGAGTAAATACTGACAGAATTTTCATTTTTGGGTGAACTAACCCTTTAAACAGACTGTCCTTCTGTAGCTGTCATCCATGCTGAGCATGAGTCAAAATTTTACTTCCGGTCACATGAAAGATGAGAAAAAAATGTCTCGGTTATGTATGTAACCCTCGTTCCCTGAGTAGGGAACGGAGACGTTACGTCGGATGACAGAGAATGGGGGTTTCGCCTAGAAAGCCAATCCTCTTCGAGTATTAAAAAACGAGCCAATGGCAAGGAAATGCCATGGGTCTGCGGAATTTGCATAGTGTATCCCCGCCTCACATCGTGAGTATAAAAGGAGGAAGTGGACGCAACCTTCGCTGAGGAGCCGAGACTGAACTCAGGCGTCTACCCAGTGGTACAACGGAAGTGGCAGGGAGACGTAACGTCTCCATTCCCGACTCAGGGAACGAGGGTTACATACGTAACCGAGACGTTCCCTTTCGTAGTCACTCCACGATAATCACGCCACCTTCACCGCTGTCTTCCAGTGTCCTGCGAAAGTCTGATCCCCTGTCGTGAAACTATCACGGACGAGGAGTCCTACTTAGCACAGGAATACCAAGGTACACTGGGGAGCATATCTCAGAGGAAATATGCCGCAGTACGCCTACCCATAGGGAGGACTTAAGAATACACATATGGTCCAAAGGGAATTTAAAAAGGAGGAACACTGGAGCCACCAACCTGTAGGGTGGCTAGAATTTTAACTCCAGGGGTGGCAAGGTGGCTTGCCGAGGGAAGACACATGCTTAGAGGCTTACAGTGGAGAATACACATGTGGAGGTTACTAGCAGGAACCATGCACACGGAGGCACCTAGCCGACGCCCAGGCAACAGACACTCGCGCCAGCATCAACAGTGCTGGAGGACTCAGGGCTTCAACAGAAGGCTCAGCTGAGGAAAAAAAAAATCGCACTTATCCAGTCCGAGGAGTGGAATGGCAAGCAAGCGAAGACACCTGAGCGGGTCCAGTACTGGCCGGATGAGCGAGTACAAGAGAGGACACAGGCTCCACTTGGAGATTATAGAATCTAGCGAATGTGTTAGGTGTCACCCAGCCTGCAGCTCTGCAGATGTCTGCTAGCGAGGCGCCATGCGCTAGAGCCCAAGAGGAAGCCACACTCTGGGTGGAGGCCAGTGCAACCAGGAGCACTGTCTTCATCGACAGGAACTTAATCTCGACTGATTGCAGAGGCTCGAAGGGAGGCCTCTGCAGGGCGCTTAAAACTACTGAGAGGTCCCAAGAGGGTACGAGAGGAGGGCGAAGAGGATTCAGTCTCCTCGCTCCCCTCAGGAACCTGATGATCAGGTCGTGCTTCCCCAAGGACTTACCTTCATGATATGCGGCAATGGCAGCCACATAGACCTTTAGGGTGGAGGGCGACAGCCTTCGCTCCAACCCCTCTTGCAGGAAGGAAAGCACGACACTGATCGAGCATCTCCGGGGGTCTTCTCCGCGAGAAGAGCACCAGTTGACGAAGAGGTCCCACTTCAACGCATAGACGTGTCTAGTGGACGACGCTCTAGCGGAAGTGATGTAGCCGCCACTGCAGGTGGCAAGGTACTCAAACCTGCCACAGGGTCGGGGTTCGCTCGTCTCGTAGAGGTGAGTCACAGTAGTAAACTCAGATTGTGTGGCTTGTGGAGTGAAGAAGTTCTCTTGGCTCCGAAGTGAAAATATACTGCGGTTACGTCCGCTTCCTCCTTTTATACTCACGAGGTGAGGCGGGGATATGCTATGCAAATTTCCTTGCCATTGGTTCGTTTTTTAATACTCGAAGAGGATTGGCTTTCTAGGCGAAACCCCCATCCTCCGTCATCCGATGTAACTCAGAGTGACTACGAAAGCAAAGGCGAAAATTTCATCAAAATGTTGGGGGGGGGACAATAAACATAACAATTCTCAAGAGCAAATTTTGAAGGGGACACCAATAATACAGGCAAAAAAATACAGAGGAAAGCCTATTATTAGTGTAGCATGGAGATCATTTCATTATACTTCTTAAAATTTCTTTCTGGTTTAAGCCAGCGGCGAATCTGTTTACATACTCTCCTCACGCAGCGCAGCGATTTCATTTCATTCATTGACTCATTCTTTAACTATATTAAATTATATAAACCAACTAAATCACAGTGAAAGCGTTGAAATCTAAATGCACAGCGCACCCGGACTTTCTCAGCAGTGTATGGCCAGCAATATTGTAATGTTTAATGACATGAAGATAATGTCTGTTCTAAGTTATTATTGTACTGTACAATTAAATACAATCGTTCCTGAGTCTGCAGTCTGAAAACTTTACCTCAGAGCATCCGTTTAACCAAATCCAATAACACCAGCAATTGTCATTCAAGCAGCTGATTTCTGTAAATGAATGCAAAACTAAATGCATATTGCAGCATAGGGCGAAGTCAGGATCCGTCAGCACCGATTTGAGACAAAAATAATTTCAATTGTATATAAAACTATGTAAATGGCGCTCTGCGGCGCAGCAGGGTTTTGAACACGGTCCTGAGCCGTTGCTGGGTGCCGCGGACAGACGCCGAACGGCGCCGCCGGTGTGTGTACACTCATAGAGAATAATGTGTTCGAATTTTAAAGACGTGGCGCTGCGCGACGCAACGCTTCTCGTCCGGTGTGCGACCCCCCTTTACTGGAGTTCCACAACTAACTTACTCAAAAACTATCTTTTTCTCTCCCGCCACCGGAATGTGTGTGTCTGAGGTAAAAGGGACTGAGGCGGTGGACCAACGCACTGTGAGGCAAGGCAGGGGGGTCTCAAAATGTTTAGAATGCTTTTTTCGTTATTGCCCCGTTTGCATTTGTGTTATTTTATTTCTTAATTATTTTAAGAATATATCATTACATTATTTACAATACACATATTTTAATGTTTTTTTTGGGGGGGACAACCCTCAGATAGGGGGGGTCCTGACCCCCCTGACCCCCCCGCGATTTCCGCCTATGTACGAAAGGGAACTCCTGCTTAACTCAATCTCTGAGTTTAACAACTATAGCTATTGGCCTTATGAAGGCAAATAGAATTAACTGATGCCATTTTTTGGTTTCCTTTGTAATTATAGATTTATTTTAAAGCTTCTGTCTTTATTTATTGGCAAGTAGTAAGTTATTTTATTTGAGAAAGATACGATCATAAGCGCGATATATCGGGAGACACATGGAGTGGGTCAGACATGATTTTGACAACTTCATTAAGTTTTGTTTTGTAGAAAGCCTTCCTTTAAAGTAAATTTCATTTAGTATGAATTGTATCTTAATTTTAATCAATGCTTCGTTTTGAATTGTTTTGTTTAAAATTTCAAGCTTTCTACATATAGATATTTTTTTCATGTCTGTCAGGCAAGTAGCTTCAGTTATACGCTGAGTTTCGGTTCATTGTCAGGGTCAGCTGACACTGACACAGAAAAAGCTAGTTTATTAATAAACAATTAAAATGTCTCCTTGCTTTATTTGACATACTCATAATCATTACTTTTTACTTTTCTTTGTGACAGCTTCAGTGTGACCCTCTGGTTACATGAACCACCACATCAGCACCAAAAACAGCTTTTTTTTTTTTTTTTTTTTTTTTTTTTTAGAAAATAATCTAAAAGACAATAATCGCACCACCTATTCGATATTCTAATTAAATCAACTAGTCGAATATTTGAAAATTGCGACTTGTCCCTAATATTCTCAATATGGCGCCCCCTTGAGGAAACCCATGTGAAATAATGCTGCCTGCATGTGCTTCATTCCTAATTTCCACTTTTAAAGTCGTTATTACAAGCTCATCACATTCAACTGATTTGTTGTTGGAAATAACAGGAATCATGGAGGACACCAGGTTTATTCTTGCTATTTTTGGAAAAATCCAAAATGATATTTAATGTCCCCTTCACTCCCTGCTGAAAACTCAGTCTTAGCCGGTTTAAGTTGGAAGTAGCTGATTGAAACTTGTCTTCAGCCTGGCCAAACTGGTGTTCTGGCTTGACCAGCTAAGACCAGCTTGGCTAGCTAAAAAAAAAAAAAAAAAAAAAGCAAAACCCCTCTAAAACCAGCCAGGGAGACCTAAACTGGTTGTCTGGTTTTAGCTGTTTTTCCAGCAGGGCTGACAGTGACATCTGACAATATGAACATCCACTATGCTATCTAGATAGTCAAGATAGCTTGTCGAGGATTCTGGAATTTCAGTCAAATATGGGCTATTTTCGCTCTACAATACGCTTTAAATGATTATTCGTAAATATGCATTACTTTAATAACATAACAAGGCGATATACGTCGTCGTTACAGAAAAAAACTAATAAAAAATAGCAGTCACAGTAGTAATCGTTCCCCCTCCGCCATATTTAAAGTTCATGGCCTGACCAACCAGGGAGCTCCCGGTGACAATACGACTTGAGAAGTCGTTCGTGTCCAAAAGTAGTATTTACGATCATTTCGATAGCACGCGAAGGCAGCATAAAAAACGCTATACATAGCCTATGTGTCATGGGAATATACAGTATGTGGTTTTAATAATATTTTTTACAAAAACATTTTTAAACATAAAAATTCTAAAGAGAGGAAAAACAACAAAGACCTGCTCGGTTGCCACATAATAAGATTGTCAATGAATGTAGCTATTAGGCTAAAGATGATTGCCACGATATAAATGTAGCATATCATAAAAGCAGTCCTTCTAAATGTTTCAACAAGTAAATCCAAGGGAGATAATCCCATATCGTCAGTTAATTTTCGTTTTCTCCAAAGTAAGTTAATTGTCTCAATAACTGTGACTGAACAAATACTCAAAGCGAGTGTGGTAAAGGACTTCCTTTATTCTATCAGTGGTTTCGTTTCAGGGGAATAAGTGCACCGTGTAACAGGCTTTCGACACAAGTTTCTTGTGCTGCTTTACAGCTGAAGATCCAGACAGTTTTTGTGTCAGGTACATCGGAATAAAGGTGTAAAAATGAGACACGGATTAATATTGATTGCAGTTTTCATTGCTGCAACAGGTAAAGTACTATACTATTTTACATTATAACTTGCTTTGAAAGGAAATGTTAAATTACACTGTGTGTCCACCATTAATTAAACACTGTGATTTAGCCTAATTAGTACCTTCAAAAATAACATACTGAACTGCAGGAACTTGAAAAAATACTAACCTACAGCCTAATTTAATTAAAATTTAACTTTTATGATTAGGTTATTTTTATTCATGAGAGTGATTTTTTTGTAAATAAAAATGACAGAGACGAAGAGATTTTTTTATTTGACATACTTTCGGAAACTAGATTTGATTTCCATGCATGGCTTGAATACAACGCTATGAAGTATTAATGTTGTATAACGCATCAGAACATTATAAAGATTAGCAAGAAATATTACAATGTTTTGATTTTTTAATTTGGGATGATGTACATAGGGTGGTTTTCTTCCCTTAATATTTAAAATGGACTGAATGTTACTGGGGTGATATACCCTTTCAAAAATACACCTTTGTACTTACAAGAGTGCATAGTACCATAAAGGTGCATATTTGTACCAAAAGTGAACATATTTTGTAAATTAGAACCTTTTTAACCCTTAAAGACCTAGACCATTTTTGCAGCACCTGCACCGCTTGTTCTTTTCTTTGTTTTTCTAACCCATTATAGCAGTCAGCATCAAGTGCCATATATCATTTTAAACAAGAGAACTTGAAGTTTCAATCTTTATCATTTAAATAATCTAATTTTACATTTAATTTGTCTTAGAATGGATGAATTTACCAGATTTAAGAAAAACGGCAGCACATTTGTGGTGATTTTTTTTACTCAACTCAAACAAATCCTCCTGAAGTTTGGATTTTTTCCTTTAGAACGCTGTACTTGGATATTTTACCTTTCCAGATGTAATTTTGACAACATGCAACAATCCCTAAGCAAGTTATAGGTATTTATTACAACATTATTGTAGGCGATATTCAGTGAAAAGCATTGTTTCAGTGAAAACAGTTTTTCATGACAATTTAGATGTGTCCAAAAAAGTTAAGGAAGTAACATAAATAGAAACATTGTAGTAGAACAATCAGTGGTGGAGGAAGTACTGAATCTCAGTACTTAAGTAAAAGTACAAATACCCAGATAAATATTTACTTTAGTAAAAGTAGAAGTAACACATTGACAACCATACTTAAGTAAAAAGTAAAAAGTACTTTATTTTAAATGTACTTTAAGTATTAAAAGTAAAAGTACTTGCATAACAATTTATTATCTTAATGTCTATTTTCTAATGATTAATAAAACATTTAATTCTAACTCATTCAACCTAATACTCCTATAATGATGTTCAATAATGATGGAAAAAAATGTCACCATTTCTGAAACAAGCTTGCAATTAGGCAATATACACATCATACTTATCCTTACTATATGTTAATAACTATGTTTGGCAGTAAACGAGATGAATTTATGGTGTAATTCTGAACCTCTTGGCTTGCCATAATCCTAACCAAACAAACATATATTACACACAGTGTGTTTCCTATGCATGTAAAAACAAATTTTCGCGTATGAGTTGCACGATAAACACACTGCGTGTGAGACGCTTTTAGTGTGACCAGGTTGATATACTGTATCTATGGCAACCAAACGTCACTGGTGAGACAAACGTGCAACGAACGGACGGTCAGATTACGCTTTGGCAGGGGAAAAACTGATCAGAAAATGTAATGAAAAAGTAACAGAAGTTGTAGAAATGTAGTGGAGTAGAAAGTATAATAATTGCTGCAAAATGTAACGAAGTAAAAGTAAAAAGTATGTACTATTTATTGTACTTAAGTAAAGTAAAGATACGTGAAAAATGTACTTAAGTAAAGTAACGAAGTATTTGTACTTCGTTACATTCCACCACTGAGAACAATAAAGCAAAAAAAAAAACTTATATATAAATAAAACTTATATATATATATAAACACACATACATACATAGCCTATGAACTACTTTGACTTTACCTCTGTTCAAATTTCCAAAGAAAGATGCTAATTGGTCGTGCAAAAGACCAAGAACTATATTTATTGGTTGAGTAGATGATAGTTTTAACCAATCTGGGGATGGGCTGGGACTAAGCATTAACAGTCATTTATGATTGGCTCAGAGGAAAAAAACACACGGGTTTCTTTGACGAATCAATGCTGATCAAAACTTGATGACGCAATCACATTCACTACGGAGCTTCTGAATGTCCAAACGCGATTAACCTGATATCACAGAAAAGCCGCGAATCTCCTCTTTATTGGACTTTTTAAAGCATACGGATTGGAGCAGCGGTTCAAAAGTTATTTAACATTTAAGAACAACAGTTATTTTTAGCCGCCGGCGGCTGTATAGGTCTTTAAGGGTTTAAAGGGGAGGGGGTTTTAAGGTTGATTGGGACACATTTCCACAGTCATCTCAATGGCAAAAAGTGTCCCAATCAACTTGAATTCCCCCCTATCGTCCCAGTGACCGCTTTAGTACCATTTTTTTTCTGAGAGTGAACCCAAGTACACATTTTTGTCAACTATTAAACAAACTTTGCCTGAGGCAAAGAAAGTGTCAGTTATTTTGTCAGCACTTTCTGTTATGCGGCTAATCTAAGGTTCACACATCACATGAAATTGGCTGAAGTGAATTATCACATTTCCCTATTGGGAAATTAAAAATGAAAAAGTGTGTACTTGAGCGCGCACACTTGTTGGGAGGAAGTGAATGTATGTAAACACCATGTGCAAAACAGATGGAGGCTCTCTGTTGCGTATTTTTCTTCTGAAACCTCTTTCTTTCACCTCAGGTGAATATAGTTCAGCTTTTATGGTCAAACCGACCACAACAAACCACCACCCGAAGACAACAACCCACCACTCGAAGACCACAACCCACCACCCGAAGACAACAACCCAACACCCGAAGACAACAACCCAACACCCGAAGACAACAACCCACCAGCCGAAAACAACAACCCACCAGCCGAAGACAACAACCCACCAGCCGAAGACAACAACCCACCACCCGAAGACAACAACCCACCACCCGAAGACAACAACCCAACACCCGAAGACAGCAACCCAACACCCGAAGACCACAACCCAACACCCGAAGACCACAACCCAACACCCGAAGACCACAACCCATCACCCGAAGACAACAACCCAACACCCGAAGACAACAACCCACCACCCGAAGACAACAACCCAACACCCGAAGACAACAACCCAACACCCGAAGACCATAACCCAACACCCGAAGACCATAACCCAACACCCGAAGACAACAACCCAACACCCGAAGACCACAACCCAACACCCGAAGACCACAACCCATCACCCGAAGACCACAACCCATCACCCGAAGACAACAACCCATCACCCGAAGACAACAACCCGCCACCCGAAGACCACAACCCGCCACCCGAAGACCACAACCCGCCACCCGAAGACCACAACCCGCCACCCGAAGACCACAACCCGCCACCCGAAGACAACAACCCGCCACCCGAAGACCACAACCCGCCACCCGAAGACAACAACCCGCCACCCGAAGACCACAACCCGCCACCCGAAGACCACAACCCGCCACCCGAAGACCACAACCCGCCACCCGAAGACAACAACCCAACACCCGAAGACAACAACCCAACACCCGAAGACAACAACCCAACACCCGAAGACAACAACCCAACACCCGAAGACCACAACCCACCAGCCGAAGACAACCCACCACCCGAAGACAACAACCCAACACCCGAAGACAACAACCCAACACCCGAAGACAACAACCCAACACCCGAAGACAACAACCCAACACCCGAAGACAACAACTGCCCCTCCAGCGCCAACACCACCCACCAACATGACAAAAGGGAATTATAATGTGACTGATAAAGATGGCAATATCTGTATTTTGGCTGACTTGGGAATCGGGATCCGTGTGAACACCAGTGAGGTAAGATGCTTCCTGTTGAAATGATAGATCTACTGTACATCCAAATGCGATTCCAGCTTATTATATCTAAACCGCCTGTATCCTTCACACTGTCTACCTTGTCATTTCTCCATATTCCATGTAAATATTATCCATTGTTCTGAAACATTTCTGTCTTTCTAGGTTAATGGCACGTTCATCGTTCAGCCGAGGAAAACTTCTTCCGGTGGAGAATGTTTAGAGAAAACGGCTAAAATCATTCTCAGTTTTGATGAAGGCAAATTTATCCTAAATTTTAAAAATGTAAGTCTGTTTATGGATTTAAAAAAAAACCCTATTCTAAACGATGTTGTCATGCATGATGAAATGTTATCAACAAATATACCTTTAGAAGATTCTTTTACCACTGTAGTTAGTTTATATCATGCTAGTGGACTTAAAATAACTGATGTATCTTTCAGTACAACCTGAGTTTGTGTGTTCTGAAAACAGACCTTTGAGGCACTTTAGGAGGAAGACTCTCACAAACAATGTGACCAATAAGCCACCAGGTGTTCTCAGCTGATTAATTATGATATGGTGACCAGTTATGTAGATAATGTTTGTTATTTAGGTGGTTTATTGATTGTTACAGGATTGTTGTTGTGATTTGAATACATTATGGTTCTTATTCTATTGTTTTTGTGTATTTCGGATAACATTCTAATGATCTTTTTCTTTGGACTTTCCAGGATGAAACAAAAAAAATGGTCTATGTCGAGTCAGTGGAGTTTGATTTGACCTATGCTTTCAAACGTGGAGGTAATTTATTTATTTTTACTCATTGGCTCGTCAAAAATCTCCTGAAAACAAAATTCTTGTTTGAAAATTATTTTAAAGTAATATAAATAGCCAAGCCTCAATAAAATAAATAAACATAGTGAAGAAAACTTTCCCTGTGAAAAATTAATATGCATGAATGCATTTCATTTTGAATTCAAAATCAATATGACTTTGCAAAAAAAACATGGACATTCGTTTTTATGTGTGAATACATTTTCCCAATTTCAAACATGAGAGGTAGTGGAAGAGTTTTCACTATAATTATGACTTTATCGTTACAATTTCGTTTGTATGTTTGAATTTTTTTTTTTTTTTGTCAACAAAGCATTGGAAAAATACACAGGGGTGAACAAGTCTCTTGAGCTGTTTTCTGCGGCTCCGGGTCACTCTTACTCCTGCAGTGCCGAGACCGTGTACATGGGGAAAGGTGTGAGTCTAGATCTGACCAATTACAGACTCCAGGCCTTCAACATCAAAAACAATGGATTTGGCACAAGTAAGTGTAGAGAAATGGCACTTCAATATCTTAAAGCACCCCATCCTTGTAGTCCTTAAAGAAACCTCTAATCAAGCTTTGTTGCTTTGGACTATACTCTTTGCCTTTCTTATGCACTGTATAACTTATGTCCTGGTCACAGTGATTTTACCAAGCAAGACATGTTCCTGAATCAACATATTCCTAATTCAAAATCACTATTCATAATCAGCATATTCCAGATGAAGGTGAATAACACTGATGTAAAAGCACTGGTTGTACGACTAAATGTGACAAACTCAAATCTGATTGGTTGATTGAAATATTGTTCCAGGATCAAAAAAGTTTACCATTACGTCCTATACACTTCGTAAAGCTTGTTTACAAAGATTGGTGACCGGCCAGATGACTCTAAACAACCAGTGCTAAGAAAAAGTAGCCCACAAAGTCCAAAGGCTACTTGACATATTATTAACTAATGTGGATTTTTTTGTAAAGGGGTGGTTGATTAAGATTTCACTTTTCTAACTTTAGTTAGTGTGTAATGTTGCTGTTTGAGCATAAACAACAACTGCAAAGTTACAACGCTCAAAGTTCAAAGCAAATGAAAATAAAGGACAATGGTAGGGACTACACATCATCCCCCGTAAGTGACATCACCAAGCCTAAAATTTACATAAACCCCGTCCCGGGAACATGCAGACCATGTTGAGAAGAGTTGTAGTAGTGTAGCACATTTGAGTTTGCTCAAGCTGTTGCATCCATCTTTATCATGACAAAATATGCTAATCAATGACATAAATATGTCAACTAACCATTCAGAAACGTCCTGTGATTCCTGTTGCATTCGGCATGTTGTCACTTCTTCTTGAGTCTCTCCATCATTGTCTGACTCCATTTTAAACATAAAAGGCTGAACAGTTTCTGACAGTTTAGTGCTTGTTTGCGTGAGGTAATGTAGCTTCTAACACGCACGTTTTTTAAGCTCCGCCCTCTATGACGGGAGCAGCAGCTCATTTGCATTTAAAGGAAAACACACGAAAGTCACGTTTTTTCTGACCCTCAAAAGGGGACAACTTAAATGTGCTGTAAAAAATGATCTGTGGGGTTATTTAGCTAAAAACTTCACATACACTCTCTGGACACAACATAGACTTATTTTGCTGTTATACCCTTTAAATCATATGAGAATCTGCTACTTTTTTTAATAGCTTTTGGTTACACTTTATTTCGATAGTCACTTTAGACGTTCTAATTATAAGTAACTTTTCAACTACACATCAACTAACTCTCATTAGAGTATTAGTATATTATAGTCGACTGTTAGGTTATGGTTAGGTGTTAGGGTTCGGGTTAGGAGGATAAGTTTACTTGTAGTCGCCAAGTTATTTATAGTCAGTTGAATGTCTGTTGGGGGACCAACAAAATAAAGTGTTTGCAGATATTAAGCTGATAGTCTACTAATCCTCTAATGACAGTTAGTTGACATGTAGTGGAAAAGTTACTTATAGTTAGTAAAATGTCTACAGTGGACTAGCGAAATAAAGTGTTACCTAGCTTTTATTATTTGACATGACAATTTTAAAAGTCATGCAAATTAAATGATTTGTAATACAACTGTAAATACGCAATCGTGTCTGTAATTTTGGCCGCATTATGTATATTTGTATCTACTAAATTATTGCTGTTTTAAGACTGGAAAACATTACACAACTTTTGCCGAGATTTACAGTTTGGATGAGTCGACGCTAGTTGCCGAAATTCAGAGCCAATCTTCAGATTTGGATTGACAGATTTGGCAGAAAATTGCAACATGTAAAATGATCACAGACTTTTGTTTCTTTCAAGTTCACTGTGCCCTATTTGTGTTTGTCCAACAGCTGATCTATGCAAGGCTGATCAACCGGACTACCGTGTTCCCATCGCCGTGGGCATAATCCTCATCATTCTCATCGTCATTGTAGTCATTGCTTATCTTATCAGCAAAAAACGGAGAAGTAATGGGTACCAGTCACTATAGAGGCCTAAAAGTCCTGATTTATACCAGCGATTCTGGAGATTTAATCCTGTTATGTGCTTCTCAAGTGAATGTTGCTCATATACCGATGATGAACGTGGATGGGGATCTGTCCAAACAATGTTTACTATTCAGAGATGGTATGTCGCATCCTAACACAAGCTGCAATCATACAAACAAATGGCTAAACTAGTGCATGCCTTATTTAGCCTATTCTCATCCTGACATTACAGAAGGATGTGCAAAATGTACATTTGCTCCATCTTGTGTAAGTGTTCTGTTCTGTAGGTGCTCGTCTCATGCATTGCATTTTCTGTGATTGGCTGATCAGCCAACGTTAATCTCATGAATATGTCCAAATTTGTTTTCAAACCGAAAGGCTGGATTAAAGGGAATTCAGTTGCTTGTGTTTATGTTGGGATATATAGGCTTTCACTGTGTTTTGTAATTAATAATAGAAAGGATTTTATTTCTGTTGTGCTTCTTTTTTGTTTTGACAAACTAAAGGGCTTTACTATTCTGTATTGTGATCTGAATGCACTGAATAATGCAAATAATGTGTAATTTGGATACATATAATACATAATTTGTCCTTAAAAATTATTATAAAATACAAATTATTAAAATTATTTGTCTTTCTCACCCTGCATTGCTTTAGGTGAGTTCTTGTAGTTTACTAGCTTTAATTAATTTCATGTGGATTATCTTTTGTATATTAGATTTTTGTTCACTTGACTGCTAAGTCTGTGGTGTAGAAATGGAAGAGGAAGAGGGGGAAACACGAGCATTATTTTTGGCATGTGTGTTATGTGGCGGCGCAGATGCAAATTTGTGCAAAAGTATTTAGAACAGTTTTCTATTCATTTCACTGAAATGACTAAAAAGAATTAAAGCAACATCTAAAATCATCCTCTTTTGGATGATTGAATTTAAATTGATTAAAGGACAACTCCGGCGCAAAATGAACCTTTGGTCTAATTACACATTGTTACCTAGTCAGCCGTTATCTGAGATTTGTTTTCATGATTGCCGAATGTAAATTGTTTTATCTCTAAAAACAGTTTAGCCTATAACGCTAGTATAATGCTAGTATATAGGGCATAGAGTAATGACAAATAAAAATCGCTTGTTATTACCACTAAAAAGGCTCAAAATAGCCCCACACCAACACGACAGCATAATAAGGGTCCCTACATTCAAAACGAAGCATTGAGAACTTTGTCAGTGTCCATACAGTTTAATAAGAAGATATTTTATACACACAGTCAACTTCGCGAATACAGGAAGAAGCCATCTTGGAAAAATAGTCTCTACCAGTCGATCTACGAACGCCGATCCAAGTGCGGTGGTGAGATGTGAATAAGGTGATAAAGTGAGCGCGAACAGTAGGCTACGTGTACATATTGAAGAGAAGAAAATAGTTCGTGTTTGTGTTTCTTCCGGAAACAACGGACCATATGAGATTCTGCACAGTTCAGCGCACTTTGATCGGCGCTCGTAGATCGACTGGTAGAGACTATTTTTCAAAGATGGCTTCTTCCTGTATTCGCGAAGTTGACTGTGTGTATAAAATATCTTCTTATTAAACGGTATGGACACTGACAAAGTTCTCAATGCTTCGGTTTGAATGTGGGGACTCTTATTATGCTGTCGTGTTAGTGTGGGGCTATTTTGAGCCTTGTTAGTGGTAATAGCAAGCGATTTTTATTTGTCATTACTCTATGCCCTATATACTAGCATTATAATAGCGTTATAGGCTAAACTGTTTTTAGAGATAAAACTATTTACATTCGGCAATCATGAAAACAAATCTCAGATAACGGTTGACTAAGTAACAATGTGTAATTAGGCTAAAGGTTCATTTTGCGCCGGAGTTGTCCTTTAATTCAGGTGTGTCTGATTATTGTTGCCATGACTGGTACACCTGAATTAATCAAATAGTTAATCAACTAACTAAATTAAGTAGCTTAATCCATTTGTATTATAGATTTTTTACAATTATCTAACAACAAAGTAGGTCATACCAGTGAGTTCAACTAGAAGCTTCAAAATCATGAGATAAATTAGAAAATGTCTGATAACTGAAAAGACACAGAGGATTTACTATGGGCCTTTTTTATTATTCAGGAAATTGGAAGGAGAATGTCAAGTGATGTCATCAGTGTGATTTTTATTTTAAAATAAGAGATTTTTGTCAACACCGTGACACAACTTCCATAGATCACTACTTCTATTATAAATTTTATAAACCAATGCGCGCGACCGTCCACACCGCAATGACGTCATTTTTGAGACGCTCACTTCGCTCCATTCGCGCAAACGAGGCGTGTTCGCGTATATGCCTCATTCGCGCCGCAGGAAGTTTTTACGTGCGTAACGCATCTTTGCATTGACTTAACATTGAAATCATTAGCGCCTGATGCGCTATTCCTCACCCATGGGTTTTTAGAATATGTTTATTTCAAGTACAGGGCCTCGAATTAGACCTGTATTTTTGTCAATACTGTACCTCTCTGTTGGAAATGGGTTATTTGCGGCCTGCTGCCTTCCTTGCATGTGGGAGCAGTTTCTCAGGCTCACTCTCCGAAATCAAACCCTGATTCCCCGTTAGCCGTGGTCACCATGGTTGGCGCTAATAGTTGATAGCATAGATATCTATATAAAGGCTAGATATCTCGTCCACGCTGCTGGCCAAAGAAGGTCGACGTCTGCACCTGGCGGCCATCTTGTCACAGGTAGCTCGCTCACTCGTAACATTGTGTTAATGGCACATGTACTATTTAAATAACCATAACTTGCTCAATTTTCTACCGATTTTCAAACGGTTTGGTTCGTTATGGTCAGGTCAGGTCGCATCGCGAAACCTGCTACTGGTACCATGTAACCCAGTACTACCTGTTTCATGGTCGAGTTTCCGGCGACTAATCCGGAACCCCCATGGCCCTGTATAGGGAATGAGGAGGGTCGGTGTACACCCTGGCAAGATTAAAAGTAAGACTTGCCTTCAAGGGCGGATGAACTCTTCGGAGTCAACGGCCATACACAAAATGGAGCTGGGATCCCATCAAGGCAATTGTACTGAGCATCGCTTTCTACTTTTGGCATTCCCCTGCACCCGGGCACTCTCGCAGACGTATTGGCTATGCCTTTCCTCTGATTATGTGAGCTCCGGGCGAGAGAAGCCCCTGACAAGTGATAGGACCACCCAGGGTAGCTTTAATGTCCTGGCGGCAAGTTCACAGTGACCAAACTTGAATCGTCGACACGCGCAGAGGAAACCTGCACCTGTAACTCACTCTTACAGAAAACAATACCCAGAACGAGGTAGTTACCGGTTATAAGTCTAAATGATGGTGAGAACATTCAGGCGCCAGGGACCTTGTTCTAGAGTGGGAGGGGTTCTCAAACCTCATGGAAGCTACCGCCCGCTGAAGCTGGGCAGCCCCCGGCCAATAAGGTGCTCCACTCACCAACAAACAATCAGATGAGGTGGTCTGATTAGTTTGAAACAATCACCTCAAACAACAAAACTACTATTTTCTACCTGGAACGTCCGAACGATGATGACCGGAATGCCCACTGACAACGACCTTGACCCTGAGACAACATGCGCTAGGAAAACAGCTGTCATTGACACTGAACTTTCCAAGCGAAATGTACATATTGCTGCCCTGCAGGAAACCCGACTTGCGGGTGCATGTACCATCAAGGAGCGGAATTTCACTTTCTTCTGGTTTGGAAAGCCTGCTGATGAACCACGTCTCTATGGCACAGGTTTTGCTGTCAAAAATACCATAGTTAACAGCATACAGACACCAGTTGCTGTTAGTGACAGAATCTCAGTCATGAAGCTCAATACACGACAGGGCACCATCAAAATCATCTCTGCTTATGCTCCGACGCTGGCTGCTGAACCTACTGTCAAGGATCACTTCTATTACGACCTTGAGAGTGTTTTGGACCCCTCGTCCGACTCTGAACGTGTTGTGCTCTTAGGAGACTTAAATGCTCGAGTTGGAGATGACCATCAAGCCTGGCCTGACTGTATCGGGAAGTTTGGTGTCGGTCGAATGAACGAAAATGGTCAACGCTTATTAGAGCTCTGCTGTAGAAATAATCTGTGTATCACAAATACCATCTTTCCAGCGAAGAGACATCGTAAAATGACATGGTGTCACCCAAGATCAAATTCTTGGCATCAGCTGGACTTTATCATAGTAAGACAGAAGCAGAGAAAGGAGGTGCTCAACACACGCCCCTACCATAGTGCAGACTGTGACACAGACCATAGTCTAGTTGTGTCTACAATGCAGCTGCAGCCAAGGCCCTACTATCGCCAGGTTAAACATTCCAAGAAAATGAATGTAACAAAAACATGCATACCTGCTCTCAAAGAGGAGTACTGTAAGAAACTTGAGGATGGCCTGAAGTCCATAGATAAAGAATCTGACCCTGACTCATACTGGGACTCGCTGAGAAATACTGTGCATGACGCGGCGGTTAAGACTTTCGGAAGAAGAAAACGTCAAGATCCAGACTGGTACAAATCAGCAATTGCCACAATACAACCTGTGTTAGAGGAAAAGAGGAAAGCACTAGCTCGTTTGAAGTCAAGACCCACTCGTCAAGCTCAGGAAAACTATCGCGCAGCCAGATCAACTGCCCAGGCAACTGTCCGGAAGTGTGTTCAGGTATTCTGGAATTCCCTCTGCTCTAGAATAGAAGCTGCTAGAGACTCTGGAAATCTCAAGGAAATGTTTGCAGCCATCAAGACTGCAACAGGACCCACATCTCAAACCTGTAGTGTCTTAAAGAACAAAGACAGATCTACTATAGATGATCAGATGGAGAAGCTTAAAAGATGAATAGAGCACTACAACGAGCTATATGGAGCAGAGGGAAACGCTTGCCGTCAGACGCTCTTAAACCTCCCCCAATCTCAAATCCATAATCACCTTGATGATGAACCTGACATTGCTGAGGTGTTATCCACCATTGAAAGTATGAATAAAGGAAAGGCACCAGGTGCAGATGAGATACCAAGTGAGCTGCTACAAGCGGGTCTAATCCCATTAGCCAGTCATCTTCATCAACTCATTCTGAAATGATGGCATGCCAAACAAGTGCCACAAGATTTCAAAGATGCAACGATCACCACTCTTTATAAAAACAAAGGTGATCGTGGTGACTGTAACAATTATCGAGGTATTTCATTGCTGTCTGTCACTGGCAAAGTACTTGCTCGTATTCTACTGAAACGTTTGCAGGAAATCGCTGAAGATACATATCCAGAATCGCAGTGCGGGTTCCGACCACAGCGATCAACCACTGATATGATATTTGCTGTCCGACAACTACAAGAGAAGTCACGAGAGCAGTGGCAACCGCTTTACATGGCTTTTGTTGACCTAACAAAAGCTTTTGACTACGTGGACAGAAAATCTCTTTTCCAGGTCCTTGAGAAAGCTGGCTGTCCACCTACTCTACTCTTACTGATTCAGTCATTTCATGACGGTATGCTGGGTAGGGTGAAGTTTGACGGTGAGCTGTCTGGTACGTTTCCCATCAAACGAGGTGTAAAACAGGGCTGTGTATTAGCGCCTACACTGTTTGGTATTTACTTCTCATATGTAGTCAAAAGAGCATA